GGGAGGGAGGAGAGAGAGGAGGAGGAGGGGGGAGGAAGGGAGGAGAGAGAGGAGGAGGAGGGGGAGGAAGGAAGGAAAGAGAGGAGGAGGGCGGCCGACCGAGGAGGGAGAGAAGGGAGAAGAAAGGAGAGAGCAAGAGGGAAGGAGGGAGGAGAGGAGGAGAAAGGAGAGAGCAGGAGGAGGGAAGGAGGGAGGCGGCTTACCGATGAGAAAGGAAGAGGCGGCGACGACAATAGTGGGCGGCGGCGGCGACGCGACGACGACAGCGGGCAGCGACAACGGGGGTTGGACGATGAGAGTGTGAGAGTGAGAGTGATCGGGCCGGCGGGGGAAGAGGATAAGGTAGCATTAGCAGTAGCGTTGGTTCGTCACAAGCGCTACTGCTAAGTTCAGCCCACCGTGTAGACTTAGCGGTAGAGGTTGGCTGGTGGCCCAGTGCTACTGCTATGTCTCTAGTAGTAGCGCTGGTTCCAGCTGACCGCTACTACTATGTGTAGTCCCTGCGGGTGGCCATGGGACTACTTAGCAGTAGCGCTGCAAAAGGTCCCATCGCTACTGCTATTGTTGTACTTGTAGCGTTCGGTGTCAAACAGCGCTGCTACTAAGTATCAGTAGCGTTGTGCCTATAACCAGCGCTACTATTAAATTTCTATCTATAAGCATTTCCTTATTAGTGACGCCTTTCACAAGGAAAACAATTTTCGGCCATTCAAATTATCTTAACTACAGTGCGTAGCAGAAAGTATTCGTTTTCACTATCTCAGTACTGATGATATAGAACCACTGATTTACTGAATATATATAGTCACATGTGCAACCTACTGCAATGTATTGTACACACATGCATGCTACTGCCCTCCTCCGGGCGTTATCTGCGGCAGTTCCAGTATGCCGCCGAACCAGCGCTTGCAGTCGTAGACGGTGCAGAATGTCTGCAGCGCCGTCATGAGCAGCAGCACGACGGCGGCGAGCAGCGTGAGCAGCCTCCACGACCTGAACACGTAGCGCTTGAGAAACCTTCTCGCTTTCACGGCCGCCCTCCGGTTCCGGTGCGCGTTGACGTCCCTGATCACGCCGTCCAGCAGCGGCACCTTGCTCGGCCGCACTGCCCGGCACATCCCGTTCCACATGTCCGCGGCCTCCTTGTCGCTCTTCATGGTGTTGAAGATGATCCCACACTCTCTCAAGATCTTCACGTCCTTGGGGGTGTCGATGATGCCGTTCATCAGCTCCGTGTACCGCGCCAGCACGAGCGGCCCGCGCACGGCGGCCGTCTCGTATGCCACCAGGTTGCGGAGGATCACCTCCGTGTTGCTGTCGAGGTGGAGGACCGGCAGGGTCAGCGTCGCCGTGGCCGCGTCGAAGCCGATCCCTGCCATGCCCTCTGGAGCCGGCATGAACCGCACGCCGCACGCGGCCAGCTGCGCCACCGACGGGATCATGATCTCCTGCGCCAGCGGCGAGTTGATTATGGTGGACAAGTTCACGCCCTTGAGCCGCGCCTCGACGTCCGTCGAAGCCATGAACTTCCCGAGCAGCGGCGCCATCGCCGACAGCAGCGGCACCTTGCGCATGATCATCCCCGGGAGGCTCGAAGCCGCGCTCATCGGCTTGGAGATGAGGTTCTTCTTGATGAACCGCACAGGCACCACGTCGAAGCTGGACACCTGCATGCACGCCTGCTTCACCTTGTCGTAGTCCGGAATCTGCTGCTCGAGCGCGTCGAGGGAGAGAACCTCCTCTGGGACCAGCGGCGGGAGCTCCGCGGCGTCCTCCGCGAAGACGGCCGAGGCGGGCACGAGAAAGTGGTAGAGGAGCTCCAGCAGGTGCGCGTGCTTGGCGATGTCGCCGGCGATGGCAAGCGCGGTGGTCTTGATGGGGCACACCTCCCTGATGAAGCGGTCCAGGACGGCGTGCATGGCGTCGGCGGCGGCCTCCTCGGAGGCGTGGCAGAGCTGGAGCGCGCCCGCGAAGAGGAAGAGCGGGATCTGGTTCTCGAGCATCATGGCGTCGCGCACCATGGCGTTGATCCAGTTGGTGGCGGAGGACACCATGTCGGTGGCCCCGTCGACGTGGTAGCTCTCGAGGAAGTCGAGGAGGAAGCACGTGTCGATGGCCATCATCCATGCCAGCGTCTGCCCATTCAACTCAAGGAACCTACATTCATTGTATTTGTACGTATACATGATCAGTGATAGTATTAACTTTCATGACATCTTATATTGAACGCGCTTTTGCTTTAATAAAACATCAATAATGCTAAACATATAAAGAATGCACGCATGCATGCATCTGTTTCACGCATGCATGCAGGGAAGCATTCACCCGAATATGTCTATGCCTAACTGGTTGCGCGCGCAACTCGAATCGTCTTCGTCGCTGCATCATGTGGATCCGCACGAGCATGCCCCACCTGGTTCCACCCAACAACCCATATCCTTATTTTCTCAGCGCTATACGCGGCACGGCGGCAGGAATACATGTCACATCGTATCTCTCTCGTTCGGCCGTTCCCCACACCTCATTCCTTCTCTCTCTCGTTCCCCATCCTGTGTCTGTCGAATCCGGCTCGCCGCCGGCTCCCTCCTCCCTCGCCATGGCCGTGCATCGCCGGGTTACTCCTCCTCCATGGCCCCCTTCCCTCTCCTGAGACGTGCTTCTCACGGATAGTCGATTGTCCTCCGCCCACGCCCTGCTGCCTCTTTCGCCAGATCCGCCATCGAGGTAAGATGGAGCAGCGTGGTTGCCTCATCGCCATGGTGGGGGGTGGTGAGAGGATGTTGGGCATCAACGAACCACGAGCAGCATCATCACCACCGTGAGCAGCTTGGTTGTGGTCAGATCTAGAGTCCAGCGGCTCGGCGGCAAGGCACAGTGAGGAGTCTAGAGCTCCTCCTCATCTTCCCCGTCGTCTTCCTTGAAAAGTTTAGGTAGCAGTGATTCCTCTCCTTATTTTTTCTTAAACAAGATTTTTATTCTTTTCTCAATCTTTTCAGATGCATCTGGGTTCGCGTGCGATAGTGGCTTCTATCCGATGTATTTTTCATCCAGCAAGTTTAGGAATATTGATTGATCTTATTCTGTTTCCTCTCCTGCAGTTTTGGGATAGAAGACTGCACTTGTTTTGTCCCTCTCCATACTCAGGAAATTTTTTATTGATCTGAATGTGTATCTTGTAATCGTTACCTGAACTAGTGGAAGAAACGAGGACCTTTTTCTAATGCTATCTCTGAACTGTTTGGTCACTGTAATTATTATTGCCTTAGTTTTGTACATGAAACATAATAATTTAGTTTGCAAATATTTCTCAAGAATCATACTAACAATACATGAATATTTTCAGAAAAACTTTATCAAAAAATCCGAAGGACTTAATAAAAATTGAATCAAATAGCATATTTGTACTGAACTTTATGAAAGAAACTCGAAGGACTTTCTAAGATATGAAGAACTTATCTCATTAATTTTAGAAAGTTCTTTAATTGTCTAAGTCAAGTTCTTGGACGGTCAACATAAAGTTCTTTGTTGCTCAGTTGAAGATTTTTATTGAACATGAGGTGACTTTGTTAACACGGTATCCGAACTTTGCCATAAAAATCAAAAGAACTTTAGAGAAAACTTTGCCATGGCTAATAATTACTTTGTATTTTATTAAGTTCTGTGGGATTTCAAATAGAGTTCTCGACACCCATCTAAAAATTCCCTTGTTATTATCCAGTAACTAATTTCATTGGTTTTTTTTTCTGACAATAAGTTTCTGACAATAAACTATTAATCACAGATAGTTAGACACACGATTAATCATTCATTAAGCATGTAATTTAATGGTCCATTAGCCATCGAAGCCCATCTGTCTCTCGCGTAGCTGTAGTTTAAAATTGAAATTGTACAGTGGAAACAGAGAGATTCCTTGTGCCAGTCTGGTGTTGATTTGACGCTAGATGTATATGCAATACGGGGGAGAGAGAATGTCATAAGAAAAACTCATATACACTAGAATACAGGGAATCTTTGTGGGACCTGCCTGCATGTTGATTTGACGTGCATGCTAGATATGTGGAAGAGATATGCGTTGGGCACGCAATGCGTTAGAAAAAATCCATGCCCACATTCACCCATGCAATATGGAATATGCATCCAATGAATGCACGCTTCTTTGGTCATGCAGTGGCTGGAAAGAGACGGACGCAAGGAAGGAATCCCGAGTTCAAGACTTTTGCCGCCTTCTATGAAAATAAGATGCACCTTTGAAGTACTCTCGCCAAAAAAAAATCCCAACTCAAATGCTCCTTCATAAATAGTAAAATCGAAACAAATAAAAAAATTCAAAAGATTTTCAATTTTCTTTTGAAGGCAAACATTGCTTAGTTTCCTTCCTCATTGCAATTTTTTTTGTGATTCCAAATCACGTTCATGGAGGTCTAGGTAAAAATAACAAAATCAACATTCCAAATTGCTTTTAAAATTAGTCCTTTTGGAACGACATTTTTTTTTCAACCAGAGCATTGGGAATGTTTTCTTCATGAATTTAACTAACCACTTTACTTGGTTCTATTTCTAATTATGAATTTAACTAAATCAGTTGCTCGTCGTTTTAGTTGTTGTATTTACCTTGCTAGCACACAAATAATTTCTTGCGTTTATCTTGCATATAATTTGTTGCTTATGTATAAAGCTTGCAATGATATCTTACCTCTCTTATAGGTTCAAAAGACTCCCGGAAAATCAATATGAAACAAAAAAAATTGCAATGAAAACAGAACAAAGCTCAGAGAAAAAATTACGACCATGCTAAAAAAACTGCAATGTGGTTTACGTTATTAGGTTCATGGAACAAGTCAAAAAAATTAATAGGCTATCCGAGTTATTGACAAGCATGGTGCATCAGATTGAAGAAACTGAAATAAACACAAAAATCAAGAATCCTAATGAGATCATGATTCAAAAATTTGATAGATGTTGCAACTATATACGGCTGCCTCAGTTTGATTTTATTGATTGACTAAACATAGTGCATTAGATTGAAGAAACTGAAACAAATATAAACATCTAGAATCCTAATGAGATGATGATAGTCATAGATTTGGTAAACGATGTAGGTGTGGAGTGGCTGTGACAACATTCACACTGAGTCAGGAGCGACCACCTACGGTCGGGGCAGTGGTCAATGATGGGAACATCTACCATCGACCGGCTAGTGACATCCCGGTCTAGCGCAAAGTACAAGCTAGCATGATTATTGGACGATCCGTCTTCAACATAATGGCTAGAACATTGTTTCATGTCTGGTGTGAAAACTCTTGTTTTGGCCTTGATTGGTTGGGCTCAGCAGCGATGAACTTATGTCATTACCTTGTTGAAAGTGTTGTCTCCTTGCATGTGTGTTGGCATTCAGTGATTGGTCTCGCCAAATAGGATAAAAATCCTTGTCTTGGACGTTTTTGGCCGGATATGGCAAGGGTGGCACGAGGGCGCTTAATTACTTCCTCTTGAAGACGTTGTTGCGCAAAAAGTAGTGTAGTAGATGTTTGTTTCATTTATGTTGTAGTATTCAATCATAGTTGCAATTGTTCAATACTCTGATTAATTATTAATAAAATGAATGTATGCATCGTAATGATGCAGGCAGGAGGTTTAACCTACTTTCCAAAAAAAAAGTGCCACTGCCATTTTGTTTTTGGGTGGCTAGCTTGCAGAAGTAACTGGATAATGCTAGTTAAACATTGAAAGTATTATGTTCTGTCTGTGTATACGTCCATGTCGTCAGTTTGAATGGTATTTATTATTATTATTTTATTGTTTGGGAGTGCAAGTTGCAATCCTCTATATAAAAAAAGGTTCCTATTTTATATTTGCCTATCAAATAGTACAACGCTAGATTACAGAATATCATTGAGGATAAGTGTTTCGTGAAAGCTACATGACACCGATTTTGTGATCGCCTGCCGGAAATGTCAAATTACTGTGCTTATCATTGCGTTGTCAAGTTCTCAGCAGCATGCCTTTAAGAAACATTCAAAGCAAAAGTAGACCCTCACTTGGCATTTCAATTTCAGGCAGCACAAGAGAAGATAGCACTCATGTCTGAAGTTTAAAACTCATGCATGGTTCTTAAATAACACAGAATAATAACGCAGAGAATTAATTTGGCGAGTGCTTGATTATAAAAGATAACCCCTAAGAGAGATGAGGCAGATGGATGTGTATAATTAGGGCCGGACCAAAAGCTTGTAGCTCACGAGCTTAATGAACGCTCGGTAGCTTGGTTCATTAAGCTTGCTGCTCACTTTTTTATGAGAAAAAAAGCACATGTTTCAGCTCATTAAACTTAACAAGCTTAATGAGACTAGCTAGTTTTATGAACAGCTCGTTAAGCTCACTGATATACAACAGACCACATTTTTTTTATTATAAGTGGCAACATTTTTTGGCACCTCAACATATCTATTCCATCTACTCAATCCGACCTAGCCCATGGGAGACAATCCCAATTCTTGTTAACAAGTACTTACGAGCGCTCGCGAGCTTAATGAGGTTAGAACGGACAGAGCAATCAGAGATTTTTTTGCTTGTTAATTTTAACGAGCTTAACGAGTCGAGTCTTAACGAGCACAAGTTTAATGAGCCAACCCTTAATGAGACGAGTAGCTCGTTAGTACAGTTTAATAAAAAGAAAAAGGAAAAAAAAAGTATACGTACGGTACCTGTTGTAGGGGGTCCGGATCATCTCCTGCATCTTGACAAACTTTTGCACGAGGTCGTCGAACCTGCGGTCGCCGGTGAAGAGCTTCCCGGCGCGCTTGGCTGCGGCGAGCTTGTAGCGCTCCATGTCCCTGAGCTCAGTCCGCTGGTAGTGGTAGGGCCCCAGGGCGAAGTGCTGCGGCGAGTACGCCTCGGGCTTGGTCGCCCGCAGCAGCCGCGGCACGTCGAAGACCTTGGCCACGGCGCCCAGCTCCTCCGCCCCGGCCTCCATCCGCCGCCGCACCTGGCTCACCCACCGCGACTGGTGGTCGTCCAGCTCCAGCTCCACGCCGGCGTTCGTGGCAGCCACCCCCACGAACCGCGCCTGCGCCTGCAGCTGCGCCAACGCCATCGAGCTAGCTAGCGCTCGCCGATCTAGATCTCTGCTCTGCTCTTCTCTCCTCCCCTAGCTTAGCTTAGCTGAGCTTAGTCGTTAGTAGCTACTTGGTGCTAGCTAGCTTCTTGCACGATCCGAATTGATCCGATCCGAGCTGTATGTAGCATGCATGTGAGCTGGTTGCCTCCAATGGCTTCTAACTTGATGGAGAGTTAACTAGGTCAATAGGGCATCATGGACTGTGCTGCTGGGTTAGTTGGGTGCTATATAGAGTATGCATGCAAGTGGGTGGGTGGTTGTGTGCGTAATCATGAGTTAAAACCAAGCTAATCAACAGCTATCGTGAAACATGCGCGGAAGTAGATTAGTAGGGTCGTCGTCACCGAGTGAATTTAGAAGAAACGCGCGACAGAGACCGGGGAATTTTAATGCCAGACGATGGATGAGCTTCTTCTTATGCGTACGTGCGTGTTGGCCGCATGCGCGTGGGCATCACGTCATGAATGTCGTCGTGTTAAACAAACGTTTTGTACGTGGTGGGTGTCGGGGAATGATGGTGCCATGAGCATATCTCGGTCGGACGTACGCGCCCAGTTGGTGCAGCTCAATGGAGCCATGATTTTTTTTTTTTTGCGACAATGGAGCCCTGATTATTGACTCAAGTCGGGCCAGCCAGGTTGGATTTGTCCATTAACTAGCAATCATATTTAGGACAGTATAACTGAGCCTAAACCCAGCCCTCTCACGCGCCCTCCATTTTTGGCCGTCCGTTTTAGAGATTAGGGCGTTTCTGGACGTTGGATGTGCTGTGTCTATCAATCTCCAGCGCTGTGAAGAATTCCTGGCCCAGCTGTCCTAATGGGCTGCTGCTCCAGGAGAAAAAACGGAGCCCTCTGGTTAACTGGGTCATTTCTACAGCCCAATTAGCTACCGCCCATGGTCCAGAGTGATCTGTCATTGTCCTTCCGTCCCCGTCTTCAGAAAAAAAGAGCGCTCAACAGAGGAAGAGCGGGTTTGTCGGCCAGATAGGTCATCGCTGACAGAGGGGGTCGATCGAGGCGCGTGTGATGCAGGCGATGTGGTCGATCGGTCCAGCCGATGCGGGCGATCGTCTGCGAGGGGATCGAGTCGTCACGCGAGAGGGGATCCAGCCGATGCCGTCGATCAGGCTCTGATTGAGAAAGCGAGGGGACGCGGGGATGAAGGCCAACGCTTCAGCTAATCAAAACTGCTCCATTGAGACTTGATAGATGCAATCATACTTCAGTTTCTCAGCCAATATTCATGGTGGGTGATCTATATATGCTTCCATCCCTGCCAGTCTTCGCTAACCCTTTCCACTCTCGGTACCACATCTTCCAGCATGTTTCTCGGGTAGGTTTCCTCTTTCCAGTTCATGTATGATTCATTGTTCTTCCAAGCAATTACGTTATCCTGATTTCCTCTCATACAAAAAATTCTACGTACAGGTTATGTTTATGCTGGCTGTACTTGACTGATTTGAGCATATCCTGGAGCTTTGGTACTGGGAATATTTTTGGTCAATATTTCATAATCTAAAATGACGTTCCGATCGACATGTAATTACTCCACACCTTATCCTTACACATTTTACCACCCATGTTTTTAGGCTGCACGATTTCTGTGATGATTGCAAGCGATGGGGATTGCTCGATCCCGATTCAGCATCGAGCACCTGGCCGACGGTACACGCGGACGTCAGGGAAGTTTTGGTTGGGGATCTCTGTTGAGACGTGCTGAGGGTGTGCGTCGCTTTTGCCGGGCAGGTTCTTTCACTTGCACACACCAACTTTCTACATCTACGGAAATCTGAACCGGAAGTTTTTAAACTTGAGTAACTGAATTTTATTTAGCCAAATGAGAATTTTGTCAGTTGTACATATTTTCTTTGATTTTCTTACCCAATTCTCTACGCAGTCATCCCTGACTATCAGGGAGACAATATACAATCTATTGTTACTTACACTGTTAAAGCTAGCAGCAGGAGGTTGTTAATGTCATCAAAACGTGCAACAAGAATCCAAGCCCAATAGAAATCATTTTGTTTGCATTGAACCAAAGTGCAACTACACTGGAGGTATGCTGATTATTTTCTCTAATACATCAAATGCTTCATCTGTCAATTATCTCCAAAAGATATGGCTTCACCGGGTACAGAGTTCGTCTTATTGGTGTCCGCTCCCTATTTTAATCTCTACGGAACCCTCTCCTTAATTATGACATGGTATCCTTTGAGAAGAAAATGTAACACTTTGGTTCTTTGTGGAAGTATCATGAAAAATAATAGGGGGAAATCGATATTTGCATCATGTAGACAAGAACATGTCACAACTAAGAGAGCTTCCCTTCTTTGTCAAAATTTTATTCTTGAGTTTATTGTCAATGAAAATTGTCTTCTTACAGGAATCCTTCATGCTGCAATCTAATTATCTCTGAAATACCAATATGGTGTTTTTATCAATTTGATCAGTCCAACGACATAGTATTTTTACTTTCAGAAATGTGTGTTGTGATGTATTTCTATTTACTTTATGCTTATTTCCCTTATTCCCTATTTGTAGGAAACAATACTAAGTTGAATGGCAAGAAAACAAAGCATGCACTATTATTCAGAATGGAGGTCCCCTTGACCCTTAAATCTTTAGATGAGTGTGTTCAATATTTTCCGGGCCTTTCATTTCTGGAATGTTCTTTTTCTTACATTATATTTTAGAATAAACAGTTGTTACATTTCCTTGGGATTCATGCAAGTTTAATGCTTGAAGTGGTCTACATTTTTGCAGTTAATGTTCAAGGCACCCTTTTGTGTATTAATACTTCCATTTCAATATCCATGCCATTTTGGCTAGCTGAAAGCCGATAGTGTTTGCTCCATGGAGAAGTTCCTTCTGCTTTTTTGGATCAGCAGACACCACAACTAATTGTGTGCATTCTTTTGGATAGCTTGCTATTGATTAGACTCAGTTCGAGTACTTTATGCAAGTTTTATATATGACAGTTAAGATGTTGGCTGACTTCTTTTTGGCAGCTCTGCATGTGTTGAAATTCACGTATTGAAGTCGAAGCTGTAGTATGAATATATTAATTAGCGAGTACTACTTAACATGCACTGTGTTATATGTAAATTGGTTGCGTACCATGTTGAGAACTTGCTTTCTTGGTTCAGGATTTCTTTTCTGGTTCTTTTTCTAAGGATAAAACTATTGAGATGCAGTCGTGAATTTTGCCTCTAATATTTCTACCATAATTTCATCAAGATGGACGCACGCCGCAATACACATCGTTATTTTCTCTACCAGCATGCTCTTGTTCTGTGTGACTAGGTGTCCAAAACATTGTCGTCTTAGTTCTGGCCAAGGCTATTCATATCATTGTATTAAATCACCTTTCTTTCCTCTAATGTTGTATTGCAGGGTTCAAGGATTCCTGATAAGTGACCAATGTTCAGTGAAACTGTTGTATGCTCTCGAGGAAAGTGGTGCTAAAAATCAAGTGTATTGCTCAATCATGAGCCATTAATTATATTAACCATGTTATATGTTTTCTGATTTCTTCGCTCAAAAGGTCATCGATTGCTGAATGTGTCGTCAATGCTACACTGCTTTAAGATATGAAATTCTATATATTAATAAATACAGACAAAAGAATTCCACAACCCCGGTTATTCTTTTAGCAGTACAACTTTGGGTTTGCGACCTATTGTCAGAGTGATAAAGTATATGACATCATCCATAAGGTTTGTCACCTTGATAAAGCAATATTATGTGTCCAGCACATCTAGGAACTTGAATATTTGAATTAAAGACACCACACGAAAGACTTTGGGCTTTTTCAACTGGATGCTATTAGTAACGGGTATTCATCTCTTACTACTTGAAAAAACATATACAACTATCTGTGTAAACTACTACCATTTTGTTGTAAAAATAGATGGGCGCGGCAACGCGGGCCATCAATGATCTAGTTATATGGATAACCCAACTGATCATCTAGAAGACGGGAAGAATTAACTATGGGAAAACATACATCGGGGCCGGGGTTAACAAAAGATGAATATGGAGATTGAGTTTAGCAATTCCCCAAGTGCAAGTGTTTGTAGTCATCGTTGGATGGTCTATGGACCTGAATGTAATTTTTACTTCTGACGTCATTTGTACTATACTACCTTAACAGTTGATGAATATATTGAAAGTTTCCCGCAATTTTTTCCCATGCGTTCCTGAACCAAACTGGTCTGCAGCGATGGCTTGGCCAACTTAGAGGAACTCTACCTGATCTCCTAAATTTTAGAGTAAACGGCCGAACCCTAAAATTTAACGGAGCAAAAAAAAATAGTGGCACATAAACACAAATCAGTGCTATCATCACCCCAATGTCTATCTTTGGGTTCAGGTTAGGGTGGTGGTGGGGCGGTGGTGTGGG